GAAAAGTTTTTACGTTGTATAAACTGAGTACCACAGCCACTGTGAGCTATAACCAATTGAAACTAAATCTCCTGGAAGCTGGGCTGCAGTTTGTTCTCCTCCTAATGGAGCAAATTGCCCAAGATGCCTGTACCTAAAACCAGCAACAAAAGTTTTGAGTGACATCATAACAAGAAGTTTAGCTAGGAAAAACTTGGGCTTGCATTACCTGAAGGGATGAAAGCGATGGCGGCCAGTTCCCCTGAATCTAAGAGGACCTTCAGGATATTTTTCACGCTTCTCCATACGATTAAAACAATCTGCAAGGTACTTACCCTGCTGGGAAGCTACCTGGATTTTATGCAGAGGAGCATCAGCATTAACATAACATGAACTGAACAGTTAGAATAAAGAAATCATCCGGTAAAAAAAAAGAAAAAAGTGGGTTCTTGTTTGAACTCACCTGAGCTGTTGCAGGAAGATTCTTCATCTGAGAATCAACTTCTGAGAGTGCTTTTTAAAATTTTTCTATATCGATTTGCTTATCATCTCCTTCTGATGATTTCTCAAGTAAAGTAAGAATGTCTTTCATTTGGCTTTTTTTCAAATGAATCTCCACTTGTGGGTACCTCTCACAGATATCTCCAATAACTTCTTTGAATTCGCTCTTGTTTAATTTTCCAGTGTTGTTCCTATCTGCCTTACTGAAGATAGCTGATATATCTTCCTGATATAATTGCGAAGGAGAAGACAGCTTAACTTCGAAGTTGACCCTTCAGAGAATACAAGAATAATGCTCAAGTAGGCATAAACTTACCATGACTCTGCGTTGATTTATAGTAGCACAATCACCCAATGCATATACATTGTCCAATCCTTCCACCCTCAGCCATTCATCTGTCGCTAAAAGACGCCTTTTACCCTGAATAATTATCATAGAATGTGCTTGATCTTCGAAGTCATGAGCAAGTAAAACTTGAATTCAAGAATAGAATTGATTTGCAGAAAGAAATTACCTGACCAATTTGCTTCATGAAGTCCAGTACAAAAGGACGGCTACCAATACCTGTGGGCCAGACAACAATTCCATATGGTAAAGAAAGAGATGTGCCGGCCGCTCTATCTTTAGCAGAAACTTCCTTGTCAGTCACCATAGTAACCGTTGACCCTGTCTTCACATCAATTCCGTCTCTCTTAAACTTACTTTCAGCAAAGCTCGTAATTCTTTTGTCATACCTGCATAAAGCAAGATCAGTTCATGAATCAGGATCATTTCAGGGACGGAGAAAAGAAGATAAGACCTCCAAGATCCCCAACCCATCTTTTAATCACTGAACCAGTTGATCATTGGAATCATTATCAAGATATTGAAATGGGAAAAGGAAAAAGGAATGTAGGTTATTATGGAATGCAGTGTTCTGTATTACATGTTTAAGATATGGTCGCCTGCTTCAAGGAGAGTGATCTTCACATAATCTTGAATAGAAGGATAAAGCTTAGATATATCCTGGACAACATGATCATGGAGCTCTGCAGCATACTCCACGCCTACTGGCCCTCCTCCAACCACTACAAAATGCAGGATCCTCTCCCTCTCTTCGTCACTTATTCTGGGAAGACTTGCCCTCTCAAAACAGTCGATCACTGTGTTTCGGGCTTTCTGAGCATCTCCTATTTCCTGAATGGAAAAATAAGACCTGATTCAGGATGGTTGTCCAGAAGAAAAGTAGTGGTAAAATTCAGTAGTGAAGAAAGTATACCTTCATAAAATGAGCATGTTCTGAAACTCCAGGGGTATTGAATGTATTCACTTGAGCTCCTACTGCTATAATCAAGATATCATAATCTATAGAAAACTCTTCCTTCTGTCCCAAGTTTGTTGTTTGAGTAGATCTGCAAATAACTCTCTTTTTGTCTGGTTCAATCTTATGACATTCTGCTTCCTTGAAATCTACTTGAAAACCCCGCTAAGATTCAAAAAAGGAAAAAATAAATCAAAAACCTGCGGCATAAGAAATGAAACTCCATCCTTTCCTAAGGGAAAACAAACAAATGATGAATCATATATACCCTTTTCAAAATGTTGCGAATCGGTTCAACAATGCTGCGAGCTTCAACTGTTCCACTGCTGACACTGGGTAACAGAGGAGTGAATGCAAAGTAACTGCGTGGTGATACAACTTGAACCTCAAAATTATCGCTCTTCAAAGTTTTCAAGAAACTGGTGGCAGCCCAGCCGGTTCCCAGAACCACCACCTTCTTTTTCTTGCATTGACGGTTACCCTCATCAGCATACACTCTTCTCTGGAATGATATGCCATCTGAAAATGCCACTAGAGCACTGCCACCACTGCAACGTAAAAAAAGGATGGGGGTGAAAGGGGTGGGGGGCGGGGAAATAAACTTAGGAATAGAGTGATCTGCGCTAATCTCCGGAAATAAACTTAGGAATAGAGTGATCTGCGCTAATCCCTTCATATATTTGGACAAATTCTATAATTTCCCACTTACATTTTAAGCAAAAAGAAAAGAAATTGACAGATTCATATGCGCCTAGAAGAAAAAGGAAGTGAGTCTCTGTTTAACAACAAATTAGGTAATCATCTTGGCATGGTTTGTTCATCTTTCCACATCTCAAATAATTGGATTCGTATTCCTTTCTCAAAATTTTAACTTGTCAAAGAATAAAAATAAAAAAATAAAAAAATAATCATAACAGTACAAGCTTAGCCGAGGTTGTCCCTAATACCACAAAACATTATTTATTGAGGTTAAGATTATGAGTTCAAATATTGATCATACTTACAAATTCGTATAGTATAGAAGAATAGGCGCAAAGAAAATGTAATAAATTAAAAGCTAAAATATATAAACACTAGGAGGAGGGTTTTTTTTTTTTTTTTTTTGAGACCTGAGAGTGCAGGCAAGGAGAAGCCTAGAGAGTGGAGGGTAGGAATGAAAGGCTTTGGAAGCCTTCTTGTAGAACTTGTACCCATGCATTATTGCACTGCAGGATTCTGTATCTCCAAACAAATCCTAGTTATAACAAAATTGCAGAAATGGAAATAAATAAATTCTTGTTGATACAAGGCACTTGAAAGGAGATGAGGAGTAACCGTCACGAAATAGGAAACTGCATTTTTACAATAAAAATGAAATTACTATATTTTAGTTTTGCTAGTGACTCCTGAAAATGAGGATAGGAAGACACGTGGCCTTATGCATGGCGAAGGATCTCCTCCTTTATAGGAGTTTTAAGCACGTATCTATTTGCATCACCACAGGATGAATTGTTCGGAATGGAGTTTGAAACTTTGAATGTAGAACGTACTTTGATTTCTTTTAGGGGTTGGTACATGCTCTCTCTGTTTTATAGAGCAATGATTGGGAGGATAAAAATTAAGATGAAAATTTAAAATTAATGATATGGTAAAAGTTATACTATTAAATTAGTTGATTCATATGCTATTATGGGTTTTAAAAAAATAAAAAGAGTTAATTATTAATAATATAATATAAATTTATATTTTACTATTTTAAATGACTTGATTTATACTTTGATCCTAGATTTTGATCTTAAATTTTGATTCTATTTATAATTATT